GCGGGGCGCGCGCACGCCGCGGCCCAGGCTCGCCGCCGGCCCCACGCCATGCGGTTGGGGTGCCCGCAGGCGCGGGCGCCCTCGCTGTGGCACCGCCGCATGCGGCGGGGGCCTGCCCTGGGCAGGGGCAGGGGCAGCCCTCGGCTACACGCAAGAGTGACCCTAGGCAAGGGTGACCCTTGGTGCGCGACTCGCCGATCGCCGCATGCGGCGCGACAGTGACGGCCTGTGCGCTAAAGTGTGGCCCTCCCGTGCCCCCGACAAGCCGCGCACCAAGGGCCACTCCGGCGAAGGGTCACTCTTGGGTGCAGCCGAGCAGTGGAAGTTGGCACCACCACCGCCCAGGCGAGGCTTCGCGGAGGGCACCTGCACAGCACCGCCATCACCGTGCCTGGCCATGGTCATCCTGGGCACTGGCACCGCGTCGTCGCCCTCCTGGCCGAGGCCCGGGTGGCTCTTGCCAGGCATGGGCACGGGCGGAGGCAGTGTGGAGATGCCTTCTGCGTGTCCTCGCCCAGGGGAGGGTCCTCGTGGTGGAGTGGTCTCCCTGCTTTTGCCGAGCTCGAGGCGTCTCCGCTCAGAAGCTCAGAGTGGCATCGCGGACCTCCTCGCTGGAATTAGGCCGCTGATGGTGGTGGTGTCGCTTCTCCTCTAAGGCCAGGGGCGCTGCGCGGGTGAGAAGCGCAAGCGCCCTTGGCCCCTTGGCCAAGGGTGCTGCGCGGGATTACTTACCGTCTGTCTCGAGCCAAGGGCCCAGTGATCTTTCGCTGGCCAGGGGTGGTCCAAAGCTCTTGCAGGTGGGAAACTTACGTATCTCGGGAGATTGGGAGGACTCGCGACGGAGGCGGGAGAGGAGAGGGCGAGAAGAGGAGAGGGTTGGTGCACGGCTTGGTAATTACCACGCCGACCACCCTGCAACCGACGACGCCTGCTCCCGTGTGCTTCTCGCACCAACACGGCAATCGGATATGGCGGCAGACTGAGCACCATCGGGCTGCGCGCGGCACTCTTGGGGTGCCTGCCTCAGCTGAAGTTGGAGCACATCTTCGATGTGAGGGGGGTCGGGACTTGCACTGTCTCTGCAGCCCACGGGGTATACACTCAACAAAAAGGAACCACACGCATGGCAGACTGGGAAGCTGCTGGCCTGCTCACCTCCATCTCCGCCCCCATCCCTCGTCCTCCCTCTCCTCCTCCTTCCTCTGTACTGCTGCTTCAAGGGTCCTTCGCACAAATCCTTCCCGCTTCTATGGATCCCCTTTCTCGCTCTCCTTCTGCTTTCGCGTGACCTCCTCGCTAAATGCTCCCCTTCCTCCTCCTCCTCCTCCTCCTCTTCTTCCTCCTCCTCATCATCATCCCCATCCTCATCCCTCTCCTCCTCCTCCTTCTCTTCCTCCTTCTCCTCCTCCTCCTCCTCCTCCCCCCCTCTTCCTTTTTCTCCTCCTCCTCCCCCTCCTCCTCCTCCTCCTCCTCCTCCTCCTCCTCACCCCTCTTCCTCTTCCTCCTCCTCCTCCTCCTCCTCCTCCTCCCCTTCCTCCTCCGGAGTGGCCGCAGCGCCTAAGCAATGAGAGGCCCCAGTGCCTGGACAGCGGGTGCTTGCGGTGCCCAAATGTGGGCAGCAGCCGCTGGAGGGGCTCACGCAGGCTCCGCACCGCCGAGCGCTGGCGGCGAGGCTGCTCATGCCCCCCCCCCCTGGGAGTGCGCCAGCGCTACACCCACGCCTCCCAACCCCCTCGACTCGTAAGCAAATGCCAACCAGGCCAGACTCAACAATAATGAAGAGACTGAACTGCCGTGGGCCGGAATGAAATATGAAGCGGACGGGACTGGACTGTGGTGGACTCTGCTCCATTCTGCTCCATTCAATTCTACCCGACTCTGCTCTACCGTCTGCCCTACTCTGCTTTACTCTGGCTTTACCCTTACTTTTCTTATGATTAAGCACCCCCAAACGCCCACCTAGCCGGCCGATAGCAACCCCGCCGTCCGAACTGTAAACAAACAACTCAAAGTCAACTTTTTCCCCGCCAACATGTCGTCGAGTTGCGAAAAGTGTAGCAGGAATGGGACGGAATGAATGAACATCGCTGGGGTAACCCCAAGCGGGTGGTCGCGTCCTACCCATCAAAAAACAATACAAAGTCAATCTTTTCTCGACAACATGGACTTTCCTGTCGTCGACGCTGCCAAAAGTGTAGCAAGAATGGGACGCGGCGCACATCGCGCGCGGACGCCCGGCCAACCCTACGCGGGACCCCCCGTCCGACCTGCCAAAAAACACTGCGACGCTGACGTTTTTCTTGCCAATGTGTACTTTCTCCTCGTCGGCGCTGCGAATCGCGTAGCGGGAATGGGACGCGGCGCACATCGTGCGGGGACGCCTGCTCGTCAACATGGACTTTCTTGTCGTCGACTCTGCGGCCCGTCGGGTTGAGGAGCTAGGCGGGCGGCAAGTCATAATGCCTCAAGCAAGTGCGGTTCGCCGCCGGCGCGCGTGGCTGGAATGAGACGCGGCGCACTTCGCGCGCTGGACATGTTGTCGCCGACGATGGAGCATGAGAGGCCAGAGCGGGGCGCGGCGTACATCGCGGGTGGTTTTGTTTGCTCAATGCGCGGCAGGAATAGGACGCAGCTCATTTCGCGCGCTGAACGTCCAGCCGCCCACGATATAAGATGAGCGACAGGCGTCGGACTCGACGCACTTGCTTCTTATGTTGTTGGAGGGCGGGTGGGAGTGGACGGAGCCCTCTGGCTCGTTCGAGCTGGCTAACTAGACTCTCCCCTCCCCTCCCCTCCCCTCCTCTTCTTTTCTCTCCTCTCCTTTCCTCTCCTACTCTCTTCTCACTTTCTACTCTCCTCTCCTCTCCTCTCCTCTCCTCTCCTCTCCTCTCCTCTCCTCTCCTCTCCTCTCCTCTCCTCTCCTCTCCTCCAACCCTGCTCCAACTCTAAATATATGTATATATATATATATATATTTATTATCACCTCCTCTCCTCTGCTCTACTCTCTTCTACTCTCCTCTACTCTGTCATAGTACTCTACTCGGCTCTACTCTCGTCTCCTCCACTCTACTCTACTCTGTTTTACTCTACTCTGCTCCGCTCTACTATCTACTCTTCTCTACACTCTACTCTGCTCAACTCTACTCTACTCCTGAGTTTTTTGACGATCGTTGGACGATTGCTGGGACTCCATTGGAGTAGCCACATGAAGCCACTCCAGTAATAGATAAAGCCACTGCAATACCAGAGGAAACCATTGCAATAGCAGAGGAAGCCATTGCAGTAGTTTGGTGCCAAACAGGGGGTAGGTGGGTATCAGCGGACCAATTCACTATGGGTTGAACTTGGACTCCTATAGGCAAGCCCATTTGGATAAAAGCTGAACCTGGCGCGACTTCAAATAAGGGAACGCTTCCTTAGCGGCATTATTCTACATTCCTGGCGGTGTTTGATTTGCATTGCTTGGCTTGGCGTTGCCTGGCATTGCTTGGCGTAGCTTGGGATTACTTGGTGTTGCTTGGCGGCGTTACTTAGCACTGCCTGGCGGTGCTTGGTATTGCTCGGCGTTCATTCGCATTGGTTGGCATTGTTTGGCGTTGCTTGGTGTTGCTTTGCTTTGCTTCGCTCTGCAATGAATCAAGATCAAGCAAAGCGAGGAATGCAGTAAGGACATAAGACCAAACAACCCGAGGAAGGCCTCTTCAATGCCATTAAGGAAACAAGACCTCGCAACCCGAGGAAGGTCTCTTCAAACACTTCAGGGAAACAAGACCTAACAACCTGGTGATTTCCTCTTCACAAACCGCTGGACAAAAATCAAGACCAAGCCACGGGAGGAAGGCCTCCTCAGAGCCAGCAAGGCAACAGAACCCGGCAACCGCAGGAAGGCCAGCCAGCGCAAGCCCCGCACCCACCAGCCCTGCCAAAACGAGCAAGGACCCCCGAGGCAAGCCTCACTGGGGAACCTCGGGACCTCGAGGATCGCCCTCGCCTCCAGCACCCCCACAGAGCACATCGCCCAGCTCAGACCGCGCAGCGCGAGCTCCTCCGCGCCCCCTCGCGTGGCCTCCCCTGGCCTGGCCAGCAGGGCGTGCAGCTCGACGCCGAGCCCAAGCCCGGGCCTGTCCGAGGGCCGGCGCGGCCGTGCAGCTGGCGCGCCCCCGGCGAGCCCCGCGCTGCGGCCCCCCCACTCTAGACGAGCGCGCTCCGCTACTCGCAAAGTGCCTACTCGCAGATGGCCTGGATCTGCCGTGGGGGATCTACGATCAATCACGTCGAGGACGACAGGATTTGTGTCGGACGTTTACGAGAGTAGGCGCTCTGCGAGTAAGGGCACGCGCTCGTTGACACTCAGATGCGGTCCGCGCCCGCGCCCTCGAGCAGGCCGGCACCGTGCGGACTGCCCAGCGGCGCGAAGCGCCGCGGCCAGAAATTGAGGCGCCTGAGGAGGCCCATCACGGCTGGGATGATGATCTTCGTGGTGACGAAGCAGTCGACGAGGATGCCGATAACCAGCAGGAACGCGATCTCGTTCAGCGTGGGCGTGGAGCTGAACAGAAGGGACGCGAAGGCGATGACCATGATCAGCCCGGCGGCGCTGATAGTGTTGGCCGTGGCCGCCAGCGCGCGCACCGCCGCTTCTCCTTCACAGTAGCCGTGCTCACACTCCTCGACCACCCTCTCGGAATAGAAGATGTCGTAATCCAAGCCAAGCCCGACCAGCACGGAAAACGAAATGCATGGAGACAGCCAGTTCATGGCACCCGCCTGGCGTCCGCCAATCTGCTGGATGCCGAGAAAATCAAAGCAACCGTTTTGAAACGTGAAGATGGCGACGCCGAACGCTATGACGAGCATCCACAGCAAGCAAAGCACGCCACGAAGCGGCGCCACCAACGATCTGAAGGACAACCCCAAGAGGGCAAACGTCACGCACATAATGAGGACAATCATCAGCGGAAACTTCTCGAACGTCTTGTCTGCCACGTCCATCTGAGCCGGGCCTTCCCCGGTGACGTGCCAGGTCCCGACGTCCGCATGCTTCTGGATCGCCTCGCGCAGGCGCACTACCCAAGCTTGTCCTTCCAACGAGAACGTGTCAACCTGATACGAGATCTGCACCTGCGTTGCACTGTACTCTCCGCCGACGTGGCTCCACTGGCCGAGACCCAAAGCCTGCGGCAACGTGCTGCACTTGCCATCAAGAATCATGGCCCCAGTGAAGGCGGAAGCCGTGAAGGGCGGAGCACCTTCCAAGCCAGGCCCTCAAGAGGAACGCTACATTCGGGGCGCTGACCCAAGGAACCCTCCATGAGGAACGAGGCCCCCTTCTCCCATGAGTGAAACTTCGATTTCCCATGAAGACCTCAGGAAAACCTAAGGCAAACTGTACAGCAATCGAGGAACACCGAGGCCCTCCCAAACGACAAGGGTTCCTTGCTCAGCGCCTCGACCCTGCAGGGGCAATGAACCCGCTACGGGCAAGCTCGTGGCGACTTCTGCGCTGATTTCCGACGCCGCGCAGATCGTTCCATCTTGAGCGATCGCGGCTTCCCGATGGTGCGGATCCTTCCACGTCGGCCGATTCCGGGCCGCTGGCGGCGTGCAGCCTTGCACGGCCGCGCTGAAAAGTCGCCGCCGCGTCGACACGACACGAACCTGCCCTCCCGAGACGGTCGCAAGAACGACGCCTGACGGCCCAAGATCGGCCCCTCCTGTGGCGTTCCCTCTTCGGGCCCGGGCCCGACCTTCCGCCGAGCCCGTGTCCACGGCGATGTCCTGGAGCGCCTGGCAGGCCCGAGCTGGGTCAAGGAGGAAGAGGAGGAGGAGGAGGAGGAGGAGGAGGAGAAGGAGGAGGAGGAGGAGGATGAGGAGCAGGAGGAGGATGAGGATGAGGATGAGGATGATGATGATGATGATGATGATGATGATGATGATGATGATGAGAGGAGGAGGAGGAGGAGGAGGAGGAGGAGGAGGAGGAGAAGGAGGAGGAGGAGGAGGAGGAAGAGGAGGAGCGCGCGTGGCTGGAATCCACGGTGATCCAGCTACCGCCAGCGCTCTAGCACCGCATCGCGGCGAGAGCAGCGGCTCGCATCTCGTAATGCTCTGTAGGCGACGGGGCACGGGTGCGCTTCGCCAAATCAGATTTCAGCTTGTGATAGACGTGGAAACTCAGCACGACAATGTGGGGCTCGGCCCCTGCAGAGGCTGGAGAGGGAGTCGGGCAGTGTCGGATCGGGCTCGGAGTTCGACGCCTGGGGATCGAAGGGGATCGTGCGTGCCATAATCTGGCGAGGAGGAGGAGGCCATTTTTTTCTCGGTCGAGGCCATTTCGCCAAGGACGCCCCTCGGGGCGGTCATGCGCCCCGCCGCGAGCGCCACCGCCCTACGCGGGCATCCGGGCCTGCGCAGCAGGGGCGCCGGGGAGGGGCGCTCACGCCGCTCCCCTCACGCGTGCGGGCCGGCAGCAGGAGTAGCGCGCGCCGCGGACGCGCGCGCGCTGCACGCCCACGCGCGGGAAGCCAGCCCCACCACGCGCACCCGCGCTGCCAATATGTCCAACTCGGTCGTGTCGCTGAGGGCCCAGGTAACCACGTCGTCATGCGGGCACGCTGCGCGCAACTCCGCCACAGCGGAGCATGTACCCAAGAGGTGGCGTAGCCACTCCGCCAGCGAACGCCCCGAGGGCGCCAGCACCGAACACAGCGGGCACGCGGCCGGATTGCACCCCACCCCCTCGGCCCACCACACCTCCACGGGGAGCCTCCCAGCCACGCGGGCCAGCGACCACGCCTGGAAGAGGCGCCACATAGACCTGCTCCAAGGCGCCCAGCGGATGCCAGGTGTCAGTGGCTCCCGCACAGGCAGCAGGTCACGGTACGGCACCACGCCCTCGTTGTTCAGCGCCGCCAGCTGTAATACGAACCACCGCTGCTCGTGGGCCCGCACGGCAGGTACCACGAACGTGCGCTTCCACTGCTTCACGGCCTTGCGACGCGTGTCCGCGCACGCGCGCGCGGTGGACAACATGTCCTCCACCGGGAAGTCCACGGTGATACCCAGCGACCTGGTGACATCCATGGCGTGGTCCAACCATGTGGCCCCCGTCGTAACCCGCGTACCTGCCACCACCTGCGCCACCGGGCTCGTCGCGGGCAGCGCGAGCAAGCGCGCCCGTGCCAGGACGATGCGCTGTAGGAGGGCGGCCCCCCACCGAGTGAGCATGCGGGTCTCGGCCAGCGCGCGTACGTGTCCGCCGTCGCCCAGGGCCAGCTCCGAGCCGCTGCCCACCAACAGCATCTTGGCGACCTCGTACTGCACCCGGTTTAACTGGGTAACCGCGGCCTGCCACCCCTTCGAGTAGCTGGCCAGGAGCTCCGCCCCGTAGAAGGCGGGCGCCTCTACGCGGGCAGGGAATTGCGCTACCTGGTAAGGCAACCCAAACCCGCTCTGCGAGAGAGCAGCAATGAACTTGCGCGCGCTGTCCCGCAGCCTCGAACGCACGCGTCCCAAAAGCGAGTGGAAAGTGAGATCCGCCTCCACGGGGATACCTAACATATCGAGCGAAGGAGCTAGACCAGGAGGTACGCCGCATACTTCCCCAAACAAGGTGTCGGCCTCCCGGGGGGGTCCGACGGCCATGACCAGCGGTCGCCTGCGCCCGCCTTGGAAACGGTGGCGCCAGACCTGGCAGAACTGTGTCAGGGCATTGTTAACCGCCGCCAGGCTAGCAGTAGAGGACTGGAAAATGAACGAATCGTCAACGAACTGGAGAATCAACAGCATGTGGCCTGCAATCGCGTCCAAGAAAGCGCACCTGTCCGCGCCCGAGGCCAACGCGCGAAAATGCTGAGGCCAGTCAGGAATCCCACCCAGCGCGCGCGCACGGTGTACTTCCGTTTGAACTGCCGCCCAAGAAATGGCGCGCCCCGCGGGCGGGGGGGCACGCTCGTTGTACTCGTGGAGAGCTCGCGCGGCAGCCGCGGGCGGGTCGATGCCAACGCCAATTGCCGCTGCCGTGCACCCGTCGATCAGAGCCCTGACGAGAGCGCCGAACAAGTGCACGCCCTGCCGCCGACCCTGACCGACCCCAAAGCCAGAGAGCTCGGCTGCCGCCCCCACCACGCTGCCGATGCGCACCCGGAAACGCTCCGCCCCCAGTGCCGCGTCGGCGACGAGCCATAGGTGACCCTTCAGGCCTGCGCGCCGAAGGTGCAGGCGGACGCCGTCCCTCCAGGCCAGGTCATACCCGTGCTGCAGGTCCGCCTTCTCGACCCATGTTGGCAGGCCGTGCGCACGGCGAATCTGTAGTGCCATAACCATGCCAATGACCATGAGCACCGCGTCATACTTCCCACCCCCTTGGGGGTCCCCCGAGTACTCTTCCAAGCGCGCGCGCAGCCTCCAACCACAATGCGTCGAACAGGCCGCACAACTCGTCCGTGTAGCTGACCGGCCTCAGGTTGGCGACGTCTGCCACGACAGCCGGGCCGCGTTTGCGAATCGGGGCAACCTCGCGCATCCAGCCGTTCGGAACCACGGCGGCCACCGTCACCAAGCAGACCAATGCCCAAGTGACCAGGCGGCCGCCGTACAGGCCTGCCAGGACGGCAGCGCGAGGAAGGCGAAGGGTACGGCGGTTCGCCTGCAACTGCCTCAAGACTGCGTCGATGTCCTCCGGGTGGAACGGGTCCGGGTCCCCCAAGGCAGCCGACTCGAAGTTGGCTTCGCGACGAATGCGGCTGACCTCCAGCTCCACCTCGCGATTGAAGGTCGCGTCGCCGTCCCCCGCCTCCAGGCCACGCGTCAGGACGTCAACGGTAACGATGCCCAGCGCATCGGCTACGCCGAGCAAAGCGCCGGACAGAGGATCACGGAGAGCCAGTTGGACGGGCGCGCGTGGGTTGAGGGTCTGGCTCAAGAACGCCTCCGCGTCGCCAGGCGCCACTGCTGCAAGTTCGAGGTAACGGTCCAAATGCTTCGTGGCGGCTTTTGCCGCCGCCGGTGCAATGGCGTCTGCTGCAGCCAGCGCGGCCACGGCTTGCAGTTCCCCCGGCCACTCCTCGCACTCGACCGTGGCCGAGACCGACGGTGCACCAACCCCCCGCGGCGGCCTGGGCGGCGGCCCCCGGGCAAGGGCGAGCCCAGCGAAATGCCCAGCCAATGTATACACCGCTGCGCGCCACCAAACAGCGCGGTCCACCAGCCCCTGGCGAACGCCACGGCTTCGGCCATCCACCACCCACCGCCGCATAGTAGGGGAACGCATGGCCGTGCCCGCCCAACCAGTGAGAAAGCGGAGCGATACGGGCAACAGTAGCAGGGCCTCGCACCGCCGCCGCAATGGCCGCCAAACCAGCGGAGGCCGCAACGACGTCGATCACAGACCCAGAATTGTGCGTCGCTACCCCGACGGGGTTGCGGACAACAACACCAAAGGCGTTCCCGTCCTGCAACCACCCCCACACTTCACGATCGAGCCGTTCCTCGAGGCGCGCATTTATTCCCCCAAGAGCGGAGAAATGCAGATTGAAGTCGCCAGCCAAGACGAGGGCCCAACCGCGGAAACGCGGGCGGTGCTGTAGGAGCCGCCACTCCTGCAACCGGGCCAACCAGAACGCCCGGCGGACCCCAACGCCATGCCCTGGCGGGGGGCCATACACGCCCAGCAACAATAAACCACCACAGCCATCGCCCTGGAGCGGGACGGCCGCCCAAATAGACCGCGCATCCCCCACGTCCTCCAAGACCTCCACCGTCCGTGCAGCTTCGTTCAACACAAGGAGCGCGACCGTGTCAGGTAGCGCGCTCCGTTCACCATGGTAGGCGTACCCCGCCCAGCTTGGCCACAGCCCGCCAGGAGCCAATCGTGGCTCCGACACTACCGCGATGACCGTGCCGATGCGGTGAAGCTCCGCAACTAAGGCGTGGGCCCGTCCCTCATGCGCGCCCTCACCACGAAATGTACCTAGGCCGCCCTGGACGTTGAAGGCCGATAATACCAGTGTAACGGCGCGCGCCTCAACGGAAGGAGAAGGGAGCTCGACAGCTGGCAGCCCCCCCTCCCACGCCCCGTAAATAGAATTGATGGGGATGCCCTGCGCCGCGCGGGCCATGCGTGCCTCGACTCTCCGGCACGCGGACCTCACAGCTGCGTCGAACTCGCGGAACGCCTCCAGTTCCTCTGGTACGCCAGTCAAGCCATGCGGCGGCTGTGCCTCCAGTAACGCGCGCGCGTCGCGACGGCAGCACAGCGCGCGCCAAGCACCCGCGCGACCTGCAGCACCGGGCAGCTCCTTCTCGACCAGCTCCTTGAGTTCGGCGCCCGCGCGAACCGCCTCGGCCCTAGATGCCCAGCCCGCCAGCGTAGCAGATGCAGGAGCGCCGGCATTGCCGAGGTCGCCGCCCCCGCCGAGCAGTGCCATGCGCGCAGGAGGGGAGGGGGAGGGCTGCGAGAGCTGGGCCGAAACCTGGCACAAATGGTGGGAGGGGGGGGGCCATGGCGGTGGCGAGCACCACCACACACCCCGCCGTTTACAGAAAACCGGTTTTCCCCCCCCCCCCCCCCCAAGGATCCCGTGGATCGGGAAGCGTAGCATCAGCATCAGCAGCATGTGGGAGAGCATGCTGCGCAAGGAATGAATTTGAGTTCCAGCACGCGTAGTTACACGTTCCCGAGGAGGAGGAGGAGGAGGAGGAGGAGGAGGAGGAGGAGGATGAGGATGAGGATGAGGATGAGGATGAGGATGATGATGATGATGATGATTGATGATGATGATGATGATGATGATGATGATGATGATGATGAGGAGGAGGAGAGGAGGAGGAGGAGGAGGAGAGGAGGAGGAGGAGGAGGAGGAGGGGGAGGAGGAGGAGGAGGAGGAGGAGGAGGAGAAGGATGAGGAGGGGGAGGGGTTGGACGAGGAGGGGGGGGAGGAGGAGGAGGAGGGAGGAGGAGGAGGAGGAGGAGGAGGAGGAGGAGGAGGAGGGGAGGAGGGGAGGAGGAGGAGGAGGAGGAGGAGGTGGAGGAGGAGGAGGAGGAGGAGGAGGATGAGTTCGACGCCCGGGATCGAAGGGGATCGTGAAGAGCCCTGCCTGGCAAGCCTCCGTCAGCCAGCCCTTGAGGTCGGCCGCCGCCGCCCCGGGCGAGGGCACGAGCAGCAGCCCCGTGGGGAAGACGGCGCCCACGCCGAAGGTGTCCTGCAGGTCCCTCAGCGTGACGGTGGCGTCCGCGTGGGTGGGCATCAACGGCACCAGCCCGTAGGAATACTTGAACTCTGGGAGGCTGGTTCGGCGGTGAGCCGGGGGGGGGAAGTGGGAGGGGGCGGACCTCCTCGGAAGGCTCGGGAGTCCCCCGGCCTTCCGAGGAGTTCTCCAGGCCTTCCCCTGAAGGCAGAGGAAACTTCTCAGAAGGCCAGGGGGCTTCCTGAGAAGCCCCGCCGACCTCTGAGGAGGCCTGCTGCTTCTCGTTTCCCCCCCTCGCTCGCCGCCGACTGGTGAGTGCCACCGGTAGAGCGACCGCCAACGGCGGGAACGCGGGAAGCCTGCACCGCGCCCGGCCTGCCGAGGCCCACGCGGTCCCGGGAGCGGGGCGCACGGCCCCCCCTTCTTGGTTGGCAGTGCCTGCGCCGGAAGAGCAAAAGACGGCACGAAGACATGATTTCGCGAAGGTCCGCGCGTATCTCTCGGATCGGCGTCCGAATCCTGGGGCCCGGACTGGGCTTGAGCAGGCCTGGTGTGGTGCACTGAGCCTCGTTTCGCCGACCCCTGTCCCTGTGGGAGTGGCCTGGTGCCCACTGGCGTGTGAAACCCGTTGACGGGGATACAGGCCGTCTCGTTCGGGTTCCGAGGGGCGTATCCCCAACTGGGAAGGGGGCGAGACGGTGGGGGCCTGGACGGGGATGGGGATGGGGGTTGGGGCCGGTGAAGCGATGCCGATGTACTTCCCCCCCTTCCCAGATAGCGCCACGAGGACGAGCGGCGCAAACCTCGGCCACGCGCAAGAGTGACCCCGGGCAGGAGTGGCCGAGGAGGAGGAGGAGGATGAGGAGGAGGAGGAGGAGGAGGAGGAGGAGGAGGAGGAGGAGGAGGAGGAGGGAGGAGCGAGGGGGGTCCAACACCACGCGCGCCAGCCGCTGCCGTCGCCTCTCGTCCCGCGGTCGGGGAGCACCCGCGGGCCCACACCTGAGGGCCACTTCAGCGAAGGACCACTCCTACGCGTGGGAGGAGGAGGAGGAGGAGGAGGAGGAGGAGGAGGAGGAGGAGGAGGATGAGGAGGAGGATCAGTGTCAAACCAAGAGTCATCAACGATGTTGGAATTAACCCTCCCTCCAAACTCCCTCTTCGTAGGCCCCTTATAACGGTTCATTTCCATGGAAGGAACTGCCTCAATGGAAGCCGACCGTTTGAAGACTGCTGCGTCTTGACAATCTGGAATCGTGCCAGAACGCCGTTTTTGGGACTTCAACATTGCGAATCAACATAACTGTTGCACCCACATAATCCTGAATCCTTCCCATACAAAATTTCTGGTACGCTGATCATGGGAACTCGTGAAGCTCCTGCAAATCTTTCAAGCGAATGTACGCGGCGCTGAGGCGAGAACCACATTTTGAAAACCACCCGCCCTCACTCCGTGAAATTCTTGCAATTTTTTAGAGCGGATGTGCGCGGCGCTAAGGCGGGAACCACATTTTGGAAACCACCCGCCCTCAATCCGTGAAGCTCTTGTATTTTTTAGAACGAATGTGCGCGGCACAAATGCGAGAACCACATTTTGAAAACCACCCGCCCTCAATCCGTGAAACGCTTGCGAACTTTTAAATCGAATGTGCGCGGCGCTAAGGCGAGCACCACATTTTGAAAAACCACCCGCTCTCCATCCGTTAAGCTCTTGCATCCTTTGAAAACGAATGCGCGCGGCGCTAAGGCGAGAGAACATGTTGAAAACCACCCGCCCTCCATCTGTGAAACTGTTGCTACTTTTTAAGCTTCAGAGCCATGAGTGGTGAGAAAGTCTCAGGCGAAACGTCCGGCCCGCCCTAAACACTGGCCTCGGGGTGCGACAGGGAACAATTATTCAGAAGGAAAAGGAATGGGAGAGGAGGAGGAGGAGGATCAGGAGGAGGAGGAGGAGGAGGAGGAGGAGGAGGAGGAGGAGGGGAGGAGGAGGAGGAGAAAGGAGGAGGAGGAGCGGCGGCGAGGAGGGCGGAGGAGGAGGAGGAGGAGGAGGAGGAGGAGGAAGAGGAAAAGGAGGAGGAGGAGGAAAAGGAGGAGGAGGCAGAGGAGGAGGAGGAAGAGGAGGAGGAGGGAGGAGGAGGAGGACGAAGAGGAGAGGAGGAGTAAGAGGAGGAGGAGGAGGAGGAGGAGGAGGAGGAGGAAGGAGGAGGAGGAGGAGGAAGAGGAAGAGGAGGGGAAGGAAGAGGAGGAAGAGGAGGAGGAAGGAGCAGGAGGAGGAGGAAGAGGAGGAGGAGCAGGAGGAGGAGGAGAGATGAGGAGGAAGAGGAGGAGACCGAGAACCTCTGCACCCGGCCCCCGAAGCTGAGCCAGCACGCGCTGAGCCCTTCGGCGGCAGCGCCCCCAGGCTGCGGGGCCTCGGCCTTCGCTCGCGCGGCCTCGGCCCCCGCCGCGGCTTCCGCGCCGGCGCCACCGGCGCCCGTGCCAGGCCCGGTGCCGTCGGCCCCCGCGCCAGCGCGGCGGCGGCGGCAGGCGCAGCAGCAGCCCTCGCCAGAGAGGCCGTAGCGCCGCGTCGCGCCGAAGAAGCGGGGGAAGGACAGCAGGAGCACCTCTGCAGGAAAAAAAATGTGCGCAGAGAGGCTCACCTGCCGCTGGGTCAGATGCGTGCCCGCAGATCTCCGGTGAGGAGGAGGAGGAGGAGGGGGAGGAGGAGGAGGAGGAGGAGGAGGAGGAGGAGGAGGTAGTTCGAAGGTTGCTGTTTGTGTGCTGCCAGTTCGCATGTGTGGGGTGGCCCCTGGCGGGCGGCCTGGGCGACGAGCACCCTGGCAGGATCCCAGGAAACTTGGATCAGAAATGACTTTCTTCGTGGGCGCGGCCCACTGGACCTCGAGACAGCCCCATGATCACCACAGAGGGAACTCCAAGAGAGCCCAAGAGCATCCGAAGCACGGGGACGAAGGGGTGGCAGGTCTCAAGATAACCCGGAGGTGGCCCAAGATGATCCCAGACAAGCCCCCAGACGCCTCCAGGAGGCCAACATCGTTCGAACACATATTCTTTTTGAACGACTTCGGATTCCTCATGGGCTTCTGAGGCCTCAAGATGGCTCCGAGATCGCTCAAGCTGGGGCCAAAAAAGCTCAAAGACAGCTTCGAAGATTGCCAAAAACGCACCGGGCAAGGCCTACGACAGCTCCAATAGAGCCCAGCTCCGGAGCAGGAGCGGAATCAATAGGCGGCAGGCCCTTCTATGCCCTCTCGAGCAGCCCCGAGCGGCACCAGGATAGCCCCGAGGTGGCCCAGGACAGCCCTCAAGAGGCCGCCCGTGGACCAAGATCGTTCAACAACAGTTCGGTTTGCAAGACTTCGGATCTACCGCCGTTTGATTCCTACGGGTTGCTCAGGCCTCAGAGTTGGGGCTGGAGGGGCTTCAAAGCCTCACAAGAGCGCCCTTGGAGAGGCCCCAGAAAGCTTCCATACTGCCCCAGAGCACAAGACTGAGGATCCACAGTGGCCAGCCCCAAGATGCCCCCACGACAGCCCCAATGGCCCCAGGATAGTTCAACAGTGGCCCAGGATAGTCCAAGACAGCCCTCAAGAGGCTCCAGGAGGCTTAAATCCTTAAAGCAACTCTTTTTCAATGATTATTGACTGCTCCCGTTCTCGTTTCCTATGGGCTTCTGAGGCCTCCAGATGACTGCAACATCGCCCAAGATTGATCGACGCGGAGCCTAGACGAGCTGGAAGAGAGGGGGCTCCAACAGAGCTCTGGCAACGCACCAGAGTAGGCACAGACACGCCCAAAAGCAAAAAGCATTGGATATCACAACCCAAAGTGGCTCCCAAATCTCAATGTGGTCCCAAATGGTCCACTACAGCATTTGAGAGGGCCCCACGACCCTCCATAAACCCCTCAGACGCCTCCAATGAGGCCCCCGGATTCATCCAAGAGATCTTCATGAATCCCCCGAAATCCTGCTTATACAGTTGTATGACTCCTCGTGGTCGTACCCTCTTAACCATGGCACTTCCCAACATGCCCAAGTACCAACGGTGATACAGCATGGGCCCGCGGCGTGAGCGAAGCCATTAAACACTCTCAGGGTTGTGTCCTATTTTGACCTCAGGGTTTTGTGTCCTTGAGTCTTACCTCTTGGCCTGGCCTGGAGAGCAAATGCGCAAACCTTGGACCTGGGCAACCTCGGAGGTGTTGTATGCTTTCTTTGTTCCTAGCACCGGCGTCAGCGTGAGAGCTGCGGCCACAGCCATGAAGACTGTGACCGAAGCGCTGATGCCCATCGAAGAAATCAATGCTACCGGTAAACATAACATCATGATGAAACAGAGCATGAGCGTCAACCCAGACACAAGCACGATTTTCCCCGAGGTTGCTAGCATAATCGTGACGGCAACATCCACGGAGCGGCCTGATATGACTTCACCTTGGAAGCGCGTCAACAAAAATAGTGAATAATCAATCGACATGGCCAGGGCTGTAGCCACCATCAAAGAGGGCGCAGTCGTACTCACAGTCACATGCTGCGCGATGGGAAACATACAGAATAAAGCACTTGCCAAACATACGGATAAATTGATGATGGTGCACAACACGAGCCGGACATTCCTCACCATGAGGGAGAGAACGAATAGCGCAACTGGCAGTGTCAGGGACGAGAGGTCCATGGTTTCTCTGATGCCCTCTTGGATTGCGTCCAGCAGCAGGGTCTGGCAGTTCACACGAGCCGACAGTTCGCTTGGGGCGTTAGCCCCAATGGCTTGCAACTCCTTGGCGATATCTTTGGCAGTCTGGCTGCCAGGGTCCAATGTCACACCGTCGCAGCTCTTGACAGTGACTGCAACTAGGGATGTGGTCAGGGAGTCCGCCGTGAGCTGATCCTTGGCAAGTTGCCAGAGCTCCCCAGCAGGGATGGTGAATGAGAGGGATATGTTCCACTCCAAGACAGGAATCTTGAAAGATTTAGCGAATGACTCCTCGTGGAAGGTGCCGAAAGAGAGAACCTTGAAATCGCATGAAGGAAACTTTGTGCTCATAGTGCTGTTGACATTGTCCGCAAAAGCAAGCCAAGCCTCTGTAAGGGTAGTCTGGCCTGGAGCTACCGCGGGGCAGAGCGTGATATTGGGCAACTCGCGATCCAAGAATTCGTGTAGAAACTTCGCTGGGAGCTTCGTAATGTTCTGCACATGCTCTGTAATGTTCTGCGCCATGTCCTGCTTGGTAAAGCAGCCACCACCCAATGCATTCTGGTCCTTAGGCTTGCACCCGAACCTCAGTTCAGCCGATTTCACGGATATGTTACTGTCCAGGATGCACGTAGCCGTAGAACTGTTTCTGAAGCTAAGTAGCGGCGAGTGGTTCACTGCCTCCACGAGGAAAGCAACGTTGAAATCACTCCCAGGAAAATCCGCTACCATGCCCTAGAACACAATGGAGTGTCTTCAAGTCTCTGGTGTAGGATCCCCAATGCTGAATACGTATCCCTTTACATGTAGATGGATGCGTACGTACGGTTGTTACTGCTGTATGTGCTTTGTCGTTGTTGTTGTGGTGCTGTTCGTTGTTGTTGCTGTTGTCTCTGTTGTTGTGCTTGTGACTGTGATTATGTTTGTGATTGTCGTTGTTATTGTTCTGGTTCTGGTTATCGTGCTTGTTCGTGTTACTGTTTGCTGCGTTTTTTGTTGTTATCATCGTCGTTGTTGTTGCTCTTACTATCGCTATACTTGTCGTGTTTTGCTGTGGTTGTTGACTTCTCAGCTTCACGGATGGAGGGTGGGTGGCTTCCAGATTGTGGCTCTCGGCTTAGCGCTGCGTGCATTCGTGTAGACAAATTGCAAGAGCTTCACGGGTTGAAGGCGGGCCGTTTTCAAAATGTGACTCTCGCCTTGGCGCCGCGCATACTCGTCTGAACACTTTGCAAGAGCTTCACGGGTTGAGAACGGCTCCTTTTCAAAATGTGGCTCTTGCCCCAACGCCGCGCACACTCGTCTTTAAACATTGCAACAGTTTCACGGGTTGAGGGCGGTTGGTTCTTTTTCAAACTGTGGCTCGCGCCTTAACGCCGCGCGCACCTTCCCCCTGCTAAAAAAAAAAGCTGCGCCCAATACGTGTGGCAGGAAAGGAATGTATACACCCAGAGGGGGTACCATCGAACACGAAGAAAGCGTATATCGAAGATTTGCGGTGTACGTGTTGGATGGCACGCGTGCAGGTAAGAACCAACAGTCTTAACATGATCGTTGTTGTTGGTGCCTATTTTTCCAACGCATGGGTATTGTTGGCCCCCAGTGCCATCTGTGTTTTTCAATTGAAAGGCCCCTCCCAGGCCCCCCTGGTTGTTTTTCAATTGAAGTGCCCCTCCCAGGGCTCGAACACATTTTTGGCCAGGGAAAATCTTGCGCGTCAGATTGTACATTTGGCCTTCGAACTACCACAACAACGGCTCCCGCCTGATTCTCCCTCACAACTGGTTCAACATCGCGATCTCGCGCGGGACTTCCTTGCAATTCATTGAAAAGCTGCGCCCTCGACGCTCAAGAAATCACGCTCTCGCTTTGGACTTTCTAACGGTTCACTTGGGAGTCACGCCATCGCTCGAGTCTTCCTCGCGACTCACGCTTCAACGACCCGCACGCTCGTCCCAGCCGTCCGGGCCAGCCCGCCCGACCCGCCCGATAAGGTCCGACCTCCCGACACGCCCGTTTGGTTCTGCCGCGTGTTTTCCTGATCCTAACCGCCCCCCTGCTAACCTCTCTCGTGCTCCATCCTTGTCCCTCCTCTTTGTACCTTCCCTCTTCCCTCCCATCCCGTGTTAGAGGCTGCGTCAACAACATGTGGCAGGTAGGAAATATATACCTATACATACACATATGTATGCGTATGTGGATGCATATACGTATATAGAAACATAAGTATATCCGCCGATCCGGCGTGTGAGTTTCAAGGAGTCTCAGCTACAGCCTCGAGGCTGAGCCTCAGCCTCTGGGGGGGTTGCCGGGGTGGCTCTGCCGGGGAAGGGGGGGTGGGGGGGGGGGGGGTGCGAGTTTCCGGCGGATGCGTTTTTTGACACCCCTCACAAGGATCGTGGCCTCCGAGGGGGTTCCGAACTCGAGTACCACCCCTCCCGCACCAAGAGGCTCCGAGGAGGCCTCCAAGAGGCCCCAAGGGGCGCAGAAGAGGCCCCCAAGAAGCCCCAAGAGGCTCCCAAGAGACCCCCAAGAGGCCCTCTAGTGGCCCTCTAGTGGCCCCAAGAGGCCCCCAAGAAACCCCAAGAGGGGCCCAAGAGGCCCCCAGAAGTCCCAGCCAACCACCAGATCCCAACCAGCATCCATGAGGCCTCTGACCCACCACCCACGCACGGTGGCGGGATAGGCCGACGGCCACTGGATAAATGCTGAGTAAGAGGGGGGGAGGGAAAAAGAGAGGAGGGACGAGGGCGAAGAAGGATCACATCAGTCGGAGCGCCCCAGATCGGCGGCACTGGCCGAAGGCCACTACAATACCCAGATAAACGCCAAGGGGGTCCGATCGAAAACGAAGAGGTTGGATATCGAGGGCCTGGGATTGACAGGTTGAATGACACGCGAGCAGATAAGAACGATCAATCTCTAGTAGTAGTGGTAGTAGTAGTAGTAGTAGTAGTAGTAGTCGTAGTAGTAGTAGTAGTAGTAGTAGTAGTAGTAGTAGTAGTAGTAGTAGTAGTAGTAGTAGTAGTAGTAGTAGTAGTAGTAGTAGTAGTAGTAGTAGTAGTAGTAGTAGTAGTAGTAGTAGTAGTAGTAGTAGTAGTAGTAGTAGTAGTAGTAGTAGTAGTAGTAGTAGTAGTAGTAGTAGTAGTAGTAGTAGTAGTAGTAGTAGTAGTAGTAGTAGTAGTAGTAGTAGTAGTAGTAGTAGTAGTAGTAGTATAGTAGTTGTAGTAGTAGTAGTAGTAGTAGTAGTAGTAGTAGTAGTAGTAGTAGTAGTAGTAGTAGTAGTAGTAGTAGTAGTAGTAGTAGTAGTAGTAGTAGTAGTAGTAGTAGTAGTAGTAGTAGTAGTAGTAGTAGTAGTAGTAGTAGTAGTAGTAGTAGTCGTAGTAGTCGTAGTCGTAGTAGTAGTCGTAGTCGTAGTCGTAGTCGTAGTCGTAGTAGTAGTAGTAGTCGTAGTCGTAGTAGTCGTAGTCGTAGTAGTAGTAGTAGTAGTAGTAGTAGTAGTAGTAGTAGTAGTAGTAGTAGTAGTAGTAGTAGTAGTAGTAGTAGTAGTAGTAGTAGTAGTTAGTAGTAGTAGTAGTAGTAGTAGTAGTAGTAGTAGTAGTAGTAGTAGTAGTAGTAGTAGTAGTGTAGTCGTAGTAGTAGTAGTAGTAGTAGTAGTAGTAGTAGTAGTGTAGTAGTAGCAGTCGTAGTGGTAGTGGTAGTGGTAGTGGTAGTGGTAGTGGTAGTGGTAGTGGTAGTGGTAGTGGTAGTGGTAGTAGTGGTGGTAGTAGTAGTAGTAGTAGTGGTGGTGGTAGTAGTAGTAGTAGTAGTAGTAGTAGAAGTAGTAGTAGTAGTAGTAGTAGTAGTAGTAGTAGTAGTAGTAGTAGTAGTAGTGTACCGACCGCATGCGTGGCCCCACCCAGTACAGCGTTTCGTGGCCCCATACGGGGCTCCACCGACGGCCCCAGCGCTACCGCCCGCATGCGCCCCCCCCGCCCAATACAGCGCTTCGTGGTCTCACTAGGGAGCCCCACCGAAGGTCCCAGTGCTACCACCCGCATGCGTCCCCCCCACCCCGTACATCGTTTCGTGGCCCCATACGGAACTCCACTGAAGGTCCCAGCGCCGCCGCCCGCATGCGTCCCCCCCACCCAGTGCAGCGTTTCGTGACCGCATACGGAGCTCCACCGAAAGCCCCAGTGGTACCGCCCGCGTGCGTCCCACCCACCCAGTACAGCGTTTCGTGGCCCCTATGGGGGCTTCACCGACGGCCCCAGTGCTACCGCCCGCATGCGCCCCCCCACCCAGCACAGCGTTTCGTGGCCCCACACGGAGTTCCACCGACGGCCCAGCGCTACCGCCCGCATGCGCCCCCCCCGCCCAATACAGCGTTTCGTGGTCTCACTAGGGAGCCCCACCGAAGGTTCCAGTGCTACCGCCCGCATGCGTCCCCCCACCCAGTACAACGTTTCGTGGCTCCATACGGACCTCCACCGACGGCTCCAGTCTTACCGCCCGCATGCGCCCCCCCCATCCAATACGGCGTTTCTTGTCCCCATACGGAGCTCCACCGAAGGTCCCAGTTGTACCGCCCGCGTGCGTCTTCCCCCACCCAGTACAGCGTTTCGTGGCCCCATACGGAGCTCCACTGAAGGTCCCAATGCTACCGCCCGCATGCGCCCCCCCCACCCAGTGCAGCGTTTCGTGGCCGCATGGGGAGCTCCACCGAAGGCCCCAGTGATACCGCCCGCATGCGTCCCCTCCACCCAGTACAGCGCTTCGTGGCCACATAGGGAGCTCCACCGAACGCCCCACTGCTACCGCCCGCATGCGTTCCCCTCCACCCGGTACAGCGTTTCGTGGCCCATAGGGAGCTCCACCAAAGAAGATATGCACAATGCACAATTGCGGTATTCTCAACTGCATATGGTTGGGTCCTTCGCCAAGATAGCTCTACCACTTGTTTTCTGCACCTTGCCCCCCTCCCGCTAATTTCTCTCGTGCTCCATTCTTCTCCTTCCCCCTTCCACCCGTCCTCTCTTCCCTTGTTTTACGGGCTGCACTAAATTCTCGTGGCAAGTAAGGAAGATATGCCCCCAAGGAGTATGATCGAAAACGACGAGGGCGAGAATCAAGGGTTTGCGGTATACGTATTGATAGGCACGTGAGCAGATAAGAGCGACAAGTCTTAAACTGATTGTTGCGGTTGTTGTTGTTGTTGATGTTGTTGTTGTTGTCGTTGCTGTTGTTGTTGTTGTTGTTGTTGATGATGATGTAGTATGTAAGTACGTATATTAAAACGCCACGCCTCCAATTGCGAATATTCCTGGGCGCTCATGGCCGCTCTCGCGAACTCCTGGCGCTCGTCGCGTGACGTTTTCGAAGCCACAGGACCGTGGCTCAGAATCCAAACTTTCAACATGCCATAACATTGACCCACTGACTTGTTTCTGGGCCCTCTTAGGGGTCCCTGCGCCCTGGGGCCCAGCACAAGAAGCCCATATCGTACAAGAAATAATCAGCTTTTGCATGATTTCAGTGTGCTCGTCTTTTCAGTCTGACGAAAATGCCAGATGGTCCAAGAGGCCTCCATGATCGACCAATGACGGCCCCGAGCCCTCAAGAGGGGCCCAAGAGGCCCCCCGTGAGGCCTCAAGATGAATCCCACCTGGAACTCGAAATGGCGCCAGGAGCCCTCCCCGCCAAGATGGCCCTCCCCCCACGACAGCGAGCGAGCCCCCAAGACTCCCGCAAGATGCCTCCCAGAAGACACCAAGGGACACAGAGAGGCCCCTGGTCCACGACCCAATCACGGGGGGCGGGATGGACCGAAGGCTACTTGATAATACTCAAGGCTCTGCATCGCCGTGTAGGACGGCGTGCCCTGGACCGGCGGCACCGAAGACTCGAGCTCGGGGATGAGCCGAGGGAAGGTGGACAGGCCACCAAGGCTGAGGGCCAGCCAGGGCAGCACCACGCAGCACCTGGCACGAGGCTTCCCAAGAACTGAGACGTAGGCGGCGACCCGAGGATAGGCATCCTCAGGAGGCACCGCCCGCACGCTGACACCAGCGCCAGTGCTTGCGTCGGCGTCTTCTGCCATCTCCGCGGAGCTATCCGCGCGCGCGGCCTCGGGCTGCTCTTGCCTCGCTCCGAGCTCGGGCCAGCCTTGACGTGGTGAGCAGGTGCTTGCTTTCAAAACCACTGCGCCCCGATCCCAAAACCTACCATCGAGGCTTGTTGACAGAGATGGCGATCGGCTCACGAAATCATAATATCATGGCCGATGCTGGAATAGCTATGGACCAGACCCGGGGTGGTGGGATACAAAGTGTAAGCTGAGACATAAGATTCAGGGCGTGTCTGCATGTTCCAGAGCTGGATGTCACTTCGTGAACCTACATTCCAAGTCTTGGGGGAACGTCCGAAAAACCTAGCGAGTAAGACATCTCTCCGAGGACCTCCAAGACCTTCCGGGCAGAAATGCCAGCGGAAGACCGCCGAAAGCTACCCGGAAATTACTATTAAGACAATTTCAACTTAAGAATCTGGAAATCTCGTTTCCTTAATCAATAAGCTGAGTCTGGAAATCTACAGAATTTGCCGTGTACACAGGGACTGTGGTGTGCACAACCGCTGCAGTGTACACGGCCGAAGAACATACGCACGCATAAACATACCCTCACTCTGATACTCGGAACCAATGTGCTCGCTTCGCTTTTCAGGAATTCATTTCAGGAACCATAATCATACATTCTGATAGTTTCACGAATCGATCATTGCCCTCCAGCTTTCCCGAAACGAATTGGTTGGCGACGAGCTGGACCCAGCAGGGTTTCGAACTGCGCAGAGGCGCTGCGTGAACTCTACCGTGGAATCTGGATGCTCAATTGAAGTAGCAAGGTACTAACAACTAGCTAATTCGATGCTGTATAACATCATTACCTATACGACCACCCTGCGGGCGATAAGGAGGTTGGGGGGGGATTGAGATCAAATGCCCACCCTGACTGACCTCCAGCTTGTCACCTTGATCTCATTTCTCTCTTTCTCTCTGTCTCTCTCTCTCTGGTTTTAAATTGATGGATTGGATTGGATGGGATAAGATGGATTGGATAATATAAGATGGGTTGGATTGGAAGAAATGGATTTGATAAAATCAGATGGATTGGATTGGCCCGCCGCAGGTGCAGAAACGAATTAATTGATGGATTGGGTTGGGTGGATTGGGATGGGTGGGATAAGATGAGATAGGACAAGATGGGTTGGATAAGATAAAATGGATTGGACTGGACAATATGTATTGGATAAGATAAGCTGGATTGGATAAGAAAGCCCGCCGCAGGCGCCGAACACCCGGGACACCGCCTGGCCCAATTGGGACACCTCGCGGCCACCGGCGGACGGGAAACGGACTTTCGCTCCTACTGACACCCGGGACACCCGGGACACCGCCCGGCCCAACTGGGGACACCTCCCAGCCACCGGCGGACGGGAACGGACTTTCGCTCCTACCTCGGCCTAGCTACAGGAGGATCACGCGCAGCTTCGCTTCGCCCGCCCGCACGACACGAACACGAAACCGAAACCGATTTCCCGGTGGGGGGTCTCCGTTTCACTGCGATCTCACCCTCCAATCTCCGACTTAATGCATAACTATGTACAACAAGTAACGGATCGTTACTTCTGCAACAGGTGGTTTACACATCACGCGTATATACATAACTCTAGAGTAGTTTATGCATCCAGAGATGCATAACTACTCCTGAGGAAACAATTTACAACACGAAGGGCTGAACAGTTCTCGAAACTCTAAGTCTGGAATCTTTGTCTTCTTACAGGCCACTGACAAAACAAATGCATACCCTGACTCTCAGCCCGCTGTTCCTTAATAGCTCTGAAGGGCGTGCCAAGCATTCGAAAGCTTCGTGGATCAGGGCGGGGTGCCTGCGGAGCACCTCCGAAAACGGCGGCGAGGCGCTGGCGGCAGGCGGAGCTTGTGCGGCGGCCGCGGCGGCGGCGGCGGGGCGAGGCGGCCCTCGCCAGCTCGGGCGCGTTGAGCTGCGCCAGCGCGTTGAGCACGCAGGCGGCCTGGCCAGCCGCGGCGCTCAGCCACAGCTCGCCTCCCTCGTCCTCGTCCTGGTCGCCCTCGCCGTCGCACTCGCCCTCACCTGCCCCTCCTCCCTTCTTTTCCTCCTCCACCTTCTCCCCGTCCTGGTTTGGGCCACCCCTCGGGGCGAGGCCGCTTCAGGCGTTTGGCCCTCGACCTGTGCCGGTCCAGAGATCGTGTCGGCGGCGCGGCTGTCAGCTTCTCATCCTGTCTCTCTCGACCGCTTCCTTGTCCTGGGTCGCCCCCGCTGCCCTGCCTCTGCCTCGGGCTTCCCTCGATGCTCGCCTCCCTCGGATGCCCGCTCTGGCCAGCGCCTGCTGCCTCGGTCGCTCTGTCGGCGCGCCCCTTGTGCAGTCGCAGTGCAGTGGTGTCCCCCATACAGGCGGATTTTTGAACGAACAATCGAAAAATACTCAACGTATATTCAAGCAAAGGCTCAAAAATACACGTCGTTCATTTCTAACCGTGCTCATTTCTAATTGTCCTCGTTTCTGATTGTTCCTGGACCCCTTGTGGCCAGGAAGAGGCCCAGGATAGAACAATGAAAAATGAAAGGATCTTGGCCCCCCTAAAAATCAAAGACCTTTCGAATAATGAGAAGTGATCAATGTGTACTCAAACTATCGTCCATTCTTGAATATTCCTCCTGTAGCAGGCCCGACTTAAGCTCGGCTTCAGGTCTCCTCGTCGTGGGTCGCCCCCGCGCCCCTGCCGTTTGCAGATCCCGGCCATTCCCTCCCGCCGGCGGCCCATTTGCTTGCTGGCCTCGGCATCTCTGGGACGTCCATCCCCTGTGCACTTTTCGATTCCGTGCGTGCCTCTTTTGCCAGATGTGGTCCTCGCCGAGAGAGCATGCACGCGTCCGAGCGATGCCGAGTGACAGGCTTGCGTTCTGCGCACCGTCTGTCCCACGGAGTTCTGGCTCTGCCTTTCGGTGATTCGGTCCGTGCGCTGGGTCAGTGCAGTTCACCCTTGTGCCTGTTTCGCTCTTGTTTTCCCAACCGGTCTGGGTTGGCGCCAGCCTTTTCGGGTGTTCGAGCCTCCTTCGCTAGGAGTAGCAGCACTCATTATCAGTGCCTCTCTCAAGCTTCAGTGTTTTGAGCAGGCGCTTCTGATGAGACATGTTCGCCGCGCTGCCCACCTCTCTCCTTTCACACTTGCGGGGTTCGGGGTGGCGGGTGTAGAACGTATAGTTTCGTGGAGGTCCGCGCGGATTTCTTGGATCGGCGCTGGACCCCCCTTCTCGGCGAGTGGAGCGCGCCAGGGGCGTCGCCAGGGGGGCCCAGCGCCGATCCAAGGAACCTCTCGTAGCTCCGATAACTTATGTTAATGTACTTTCTGGTTCTTCAGCTTGTGGGGGTTCGGGGTGGCTGGTGGCCGAAGTGGCTGCCTGCGCCGCCCAGGCCACCCTCCGTAAACTGACCAGGCGTATAGGCGAGATCCTGCAGAAGGGGCCGACTGGGCACGAGTCGCCGCTTGGGCACGCGTGGCCTGACGGGCAACTTCGGCGGCGGCGAGCCCGGGGGCGAAGCGAGAGAGGGGCGGGCTTTCTCAGAAGGCTCGGAAGGCCTCGGGCCTTCTGAGAAATTTGCTGAGCCTTCCCCGAAGACGCACCAAACTTCTCAGACGGCGCGAAGGCTTCTGAGAAGCCCCGCCGCCTTCTGAGAATGTCTGCTCCCGCTCACTTCCCCCCGGGCACGCCGCCGACAATGTGCGCCCGCACGTCAGCGAGAGCCGTATTGGCCCCCGCGTGGCCACTGAAGCCGACGGGCAATTTGCGTCCCCCCGACCCACCTCTCCCGTGGACCCACCCTGGCCGGGTGTTCGCCCCGCGCCAGGCCGTGGCGACGAACGCCTCCAGAAATGGCAGAGAAACCCGCAAGACGACGACGAGGAGGAGGAAGAGGAGGAGGAGGAGGAGAAGAAGGAGGGGGAGGAGGACAAGCTAGGTGCGCTCGCGTCATATCTGACATCCTACCCCTCCCTCCCATCCCTTACCATGGCATCGATCCCCTCTTTACTCGCACAGTCGGATATCGAGCAGGGCAATGATCCCGAAAAGGTACGCGATGCATTGTAGAGCACGGCATGGCATGGCGTAGAAGAGCACCGCACAGCGTAGTATGTCACAGCATGGCGTCGCGTGGCGTAGTGAAGAATTGCATCACAAAGCTTTGCAACGCAAAGAATGGCATCGCACAGCGGCCCCGAACATAACATTGCATACCATGGCGTTGCAGATCAAAGCGTACCATGACATAGCACGACGTGGCACTAAAGCACTGCATATCACAGCTTCAGCTGAAGGCATGGCATCGCGCAGCGGAACGCAACCGAGCATTGCATTGCATGCCGTGGCATGGCACGGGAAATGACGCCAGCACTGCAGCGGGAGCACGATTCGAAACGAGCGGAAGCACGGAAATGAGGCCAGCGCTGCAGCGGGAGCACGATTCGGAACGAGCGGGGCCCGAACATGAGGACGGCGCCTCAGCGAGATCAGCATTTGGGGAACAAATGCAAGCGAAAACCCAACTCTGGGGAATCCTGTGTAAAAAACAATACGCGGGGGGGCGAACACTCCCAACCCGTCATCAGGGGAAGGAGGAGAGTAGTATTCAGATTGAGTAATTCTTGAGGAGGAGGAGGCGGAGGAGGAGGAGGAGGAGGAGGAGGAGGAGGAGGAGGAGG